TGCAAGTGCTTCCCTGCATACGCGCCCAGAATAGTCCCTGAACCCCTATATTAACCGCTATAGAAGCCCCTAGCCCCCATGCTAATCTCCATAGAATCCTCTGATCCCTGATCCCTAGATTATACCTCGTTCCCCCATTAACCAGTACTCCCCTGCTCTCGCAGACTTCTAGGCCGGCATGGGTGGTTACATGCCTCTGCAAATGCAGGCGGGGAAGACTTGGTGATTTGGTGGGCTTTGCATACTACAGGGGTTATTTAGGGGGGTACTAGGAGTTTAGACTTTAGCTCAGTGCTCATCGTTGTTCCGTTTGATCGTCTGATGCCAGGGTTAGATGGAATGTAAGCAGGTGGTGCAGCTGCTTAGAGTCTACGTACGAAGTTTCATAAGTTTTAGCTTGTTGGACTTAGAGGAGAATGGCCGCTAACTGATCTCAGACAGCCCTGCGCTTGGGTGTGCCGTCCGGTCCACATGGCCCAAGGCCTGCAAGCGTAACGGCATAACACTTGAATGTCCAAGATCTTTCAACCTCTAATCCTTAATCTCTAAACCCTGATCCGCATCCGCCAACCTCAAAACCCTTTAAACCTGAACCTCCCAGAAGCCCACGGAAGACTTTTTCTAGGCGACGGCTCCCTGGCCAGCTGCTATGGTCGGGTCCTGATGCCTAAGCAGAATGTCAGGGCTTGGCTCATGTGTGAGCTTCTCTACATAGGGTCGCTGAGAGACCAAAGAGATATGTTTTCGGATTCTGTACAGATGATAGAAGGTTGTAGAACGATTGTCTTGATCAACTTGCATGTGTAAGGGAGCACGCAAGGATTAAATGACTTATTTGGAAGTTATGTAGTGGTTAAGCAGGGTGCATAGTTGGGAGGATGTAGGAAGCTTTTGAAATCAGGCTTATTGCAAGCATAATCGGGAAAACTTTAGGAAGGAAGTCCGGAGGTTACTACAGCTGGACGTTCTCCGGAAATCCTCGACGGCTGGGCCGTTCAGAAGGTAAACCTCAATTCATGGTCCTAAGAATCGCGGCAAAAACAGGTTTCGGGGGTATATGGAGACTTTCTGGGATATCCACTCTATTCATTTTATGACAGCCTTCGGAATTTGGTTTAACTGGGTGGGTATATGAGGCTGAGCTCTACTTAAAGAAATGCCCACCCTAAACTCTACGCCGTGTCCTAGCACTCCCCGCAACTACTACAGAAACCTCCCAACAGACACAGGCAGCAGCCGCCAGAGCATCCAACATGGTTCGGAACTCAGGGGGGTTGACCTTCCTGGTGTCCCCGAGTCCCGAAAGCCACACTAAGCGATGCTCAGCTATGACACTGTAGTCTTCTTAGGAATTATTTTTCATCA